AGGTCCCTCAATGCCCCCAAACTCCTGGAAAATCCCAGAAATCAGGAATCCCTGTATAAAATAATCACCACCATAATCCCAARCATTSCRGGACRGGCAGAATTYCAGGCTGTGGSACAGGGGAGGGCCACGCCCTCWSTCTGGGATTTGGGATTATCCCTYRGGAATGTYCTGATCCCRCTGTTTTCCCYTTTTTTCTCCGCAGTGCTGGTTGTGGTCAATCACTACCTGGCRTTCCAGTACTTCGCTGAGGAATTTTACCTTTTCTCCGAGGTGAGACCCTTTGGAAAGGAGCTGATCCATGTTTTTCCTGGAAGGGAGAGGCAGGAAAATCTCAATTTTTGGCTCAGTGGGATATAATATAAAATATAAATCCCAGGGTATTTTTTCCAGCTTTTCCCTGTGGTTTTCCTGAAGTTTTGAAAGGCCTGGGAAGCTGGGTTCTTTTCCCAGGTTTGGGGTTATCCCAGTGAATTCCATAAATGTGGAGTATTAAACCTGTCTTATTCCTGAAATACTAAAAACTTGGAAATATAGGGATTAACATAATCTAAATTCCATTTTTTTTTAAATAATCTGACCCAAATCTCTTCCCTTTGGGAATTATTGTTCYTCATTTTTATGATCTAATTCGACATCCTGCTGAGCTAAAAATCCCCATTCCCAGGGTGGCTCCTAGGAGCCCAGAATTCCTTGGAAATCAAGGAAAATTTTGGTTTTTTATGGCATTTTTTTGGGTTTTCTAATGGGATTTAACCCTGGATTGGGAACAGGGGGTGGCTCAGCATTCCCTGGGCATCGATTCCTCCTCATCCCGCCCTGGCTCTTCCCTCTTCCTTCAATTCCCTGGGAGGCATGGAGAGGATTTAATTCCCTTTATTTAAATTAAATTAAAATAAATTAATTAATTTCCCAAGGAGATTTAATTCAAACCCATCAGTTCTTTAATTTGGCCCTATAAAATTGGGAATGGGAGGAATTTGGGATGCTGGGGGGGATTTTCTGCTTTTCCCTGGCTGGTTTTTATCCCTTTATCCCGCAGTGCTGGGGGCACTCTGGAGGGGTGGGATTGAGGGATTGAGGCCGGAATTTTGGGATTTTYTTCCCACAGGTCCTGGCCTACTTCACTTTCTGCCTGTGGCTGATTCCCTTCGCCTTCTTTGTGTCCCTCTCRGCCGGGGAGAACGTCCTGCCCTCCACGGTGCAGCCTGGAGGTGGGAATGGGATCGGGATTGGGATTGGGATTGGGGATGGTTTGGGTGAGAAAAGACCTGAAAATCTGGTTCCAATCCTGCTATTCCAGATGGATCCAACCCCAATGTCCAGCCTGGACTTGGACATTCCCAGGGATCCGGGGCAATCTGGCAATTCCAGCCCAGCCCCTCGCCACCCTCCCAGGCA